CCCTGCTCGGTGATCGGCACGGCCCTCCAGGCGCTCACACCCCCCTCTGCCCGGAGCTGGTGGCTGCCTGTCGGGATGGGGCGGGCGGAGCCGGGGCAGAGTCCGATCTGACTGGCCACCAGGTGCTAACCGGGTGGGTAACGAGGGCTATTCTTGTATGTGTTTGAAGTTCCCTGTAATGAAAGGTTTCTTAAAATTATGTAGATAGAAAACTTAAATGTATAATCTGTTTTTTAAGATATAACATACAGATCTTTATGTATTTATACTTTTACATGTAACATGGCATTTGTGTACATGGTACATACATGGAAGTGTACGTGTCATAGGTAACACACACATACACACATGCCCAGAGTCTGACCTGTCCCACCCTCCACTGCCACATCCCCTGTCCTTTCCCTCCTGGGGCTCGGCCAGAGCCTCCCAACTAGCATCCTGCTCCGGCCCTCGCCCCTGCTCCGTCTGCACACGGGGCGTCAGTTAAAGGGGAGCAAACGGGGCTGCATCGTGCCCCCCGGAGCGAAGCCCTCAGAACCTCCTGCTCCGGCCACACTGCCAGGAGGACATTCCAGTTCCTCTCCCCCTGGCTCTGGCGGTTGCTGTCCTCCCTCCCTGTTCTTGTTCCCACATCATGCCGACCGCCTTTCTTCCTCCCTCAGTCATCAGCCCCATTCTGAGTGACCTCACCTGGGGGCCTGTCCGGCCGCCCTCACAGCGTGCAGCCCCGCCTGCCTCTCTGTGGACCCCGCCCCACACCCCCGCCCCACACCCCCAACCTGCACACTGGGTGTTCTCTTGTTTGTGGATTCTGTCCCCACTGGAAGCAGCCTCGTTTAGGCGCCATGGGTTCCGGAGCGCAGAACGGCGTCTGGCACCCGGAAAGCCTCGGTAGGTCCCTGTTGGAGGAGTGGACGCAGCTCTGTCCATGGACGGGCAGCGGAGGCTTGGCCTGTGGAACAAGGGAGGTCAGGGCACAGCGGGGCTGGAAGCCAGGCTGTCTGGACCCTGAAGTCCTTGCCCCAAGTCCCTGGAGAAGGCGGGGATGGGGTTCTGAGCACAGATGCGGGGAGGACCCCTCCCAAGGGACGGGGGGTCGGGGGGAGATACAAGAAGACCAGGGAAGGAGGGGGCCGAGGCAGGAGGGCCTTGGTGAGCCAGGGGCCTGGCTTCTCTCTCCCCTGAGAGGCAGGAGGAAGTCTTTCTGAGAGGGAGGGCAGCTGGTCCGGGAGTCTGCAGGACTTCTCCGTGTGCCCCCAGGACGCTGCGGTCCCTGCGGCCACTTCCCCAGCTCCCCCTGGTCTCCTCCCGCCTGGCGGGCCAGGGCTGGGTGATGACCCCCACAGACAAGATCTGATTGGCCCGAGCATCCACCCAACTCCTCTCCTGACAGCTGGGCCCCAGGGAGGGGCTGGGACGGAGCCAGACCCACCCAGGGGTGCTGCTGGCCCCTTCCCCATCCTAGTTTTCATCTGCTCGCTCATGACATCAATTTCATATTCTTTTTGTCCTCCAGTGGGAAATGAATGCATGCTCATTATAGAAAATGTGGGCAAACAGATCAGAAGAGAGAATACATGAGAAGTTGCTATTCTGATGCGGTATCACCATGGCTCCTCCTGGCCAGGCCCTGGCTGGGCAGGGGGCACGGGCCCTCGCCTGGCGTGCCCAGCAGGCCATCGGGCCCTGGTCCCCATGGGGCCACAGGCTTGGTAGGCGCTGCGGGAGCGGACCAGGTGAGAGCGGCTATTTCATGACGGCATCTGTCATGGGGGCCACGGGGCAGGTCTGCCCAGGCAGGGCAGGGGCTGGGGCGGCTCAGAGAGCACCACTTTCCATGAGAGGCCCTGCAAGGGGAGGGGAGGGGAGGGCGTCACCGAAAGTGAGGCTGTAAGTAGAAAACGGCTTCTGGGATCTCAGCGGCTTCGTCATGGGGCCCTCCCCGCTGCCGGGAAATCAGTTGATCTGGGAAAGTTCCTCCCTTGCAAACCTTTTGCTCTGCTGCTTTTGGGTGGAGTCAAGAAAGGAACGAAGATAATGAGACCGTATGGCTTTCCTTTCTCAGGGTAGGAGTGGGCCCAGAGTGTGGGCGGGCGACGGTGGATACAGCCACCAGCTCTGACACTGCTCTGCCCTCCAGAAAGGCCAGCTGGCCAGCGTGGCCCCAGCCAGACCCCCCTCCCGGGCCCCGCAGGCCTCCTCACCCGGAGCCCAAGGGAAGGAGTCAGGCTCTGCTCAAACTGACCCGCTGGATTAAGATCGTAAGCAAAAGGCACCTCCCGCTTCGTCATAGCGAAAGGTGATAAGCTGATAAACCCGGCCTCCGAACTGCTGGGTTACAGGGACACAGAGGCCCCTGTCCCCCAAGGCCCAGCTGGGGGGCCACCCTGGAGAACCCCTGAGGTGACTCGGGTTTCTGATATCTCATCTGAGCTGCAAACAGAGGTGTTTGGTGCCGGCCTCACAGGAAACGCCCCAGCGCCTCGTTTCTCCTTGAGCCCCAGCCCCTCTTCCGTGAAACCTCCTAAGCATGGGGTCCCCGAGGTGCCAGGGGCTCCCTCCCTGGGCCCACCATCAGCATCTCCTTCTACTCACCAAGCATCATGTCTCTCCCACTTCTCTGGGGCCCGGCCCTTGCCTCCTGCAGGAGAGAAGCAAGAAGACGGGGCAGAGAAAACTCCCAGCAAACACCCAGGTGCCAGTGCTCCGGCCACGATGGCTGACACAGACCTTTGTGTTCTCTTTCCTGGCTGCCCCCACCTCCCCGTTGCCACCGGAGGTGGCGGTGGCGTGGCTCTGTGGCTCCGTGAGCACCCGCCATCCCTGGACGCCGGCTCTGACTCACACCATGAAACCACAGGGCCCTCTGGGGACCGCCTCGGCCGAGGCTGTGGCGCTCGGCAGACCCCTAGTGGTGGGGCCCGGAGGCCCTGGGACTGCAGGGCTCAGCTTACAGCCGGGACATCCTCGGGGACCCTCCCCAACACCAGCCTCAATTCCAGGCTCTGTTTTGGGAGAGTCACGTGGAATTTCACCAGCAGACGTCCCATCTTCCTTTTGGACAGATGGACAGGGATCCAGCAGATAGATGCTAATTTTGTAGTTAATCTTCCATAAGCATCCTTCTGGCCTTAGAATGCTCGAACCTCTGATGGAGAGGGATCATGGACATCTTCCTCCTGGCCCCTCCCTCCAGGCAGAGCGCCTTCCTCAGACCCGCCAGGGCCTAACAGTTCCTGGCGGGGGCTCAGCCTTGAGTGCATGTGCTGCCTTGGTCATCACCCGCCCAGAGGCTGGTGCAGAGCAGGCCAGCGGCATCCTCAGCCCTGCCGTGGACAGCCCTGCCGTGGACAGCCCGTGGCACACGCAGCCCCAGGCCTTCCCTCTCGGGCCAGCCACCCCTAACATCCTGCTTGGTCAGCGGTGATTCTTCCCTCACCTCCGCCTGGGAGCCCAGGGAGGGTCCACTCGGCTGCAGTCCGGGTGGCCATCTGCCCCGGGACGCGGCTGCTCCCAGCATCGCTAGATGCGCCCAGGGCCCGGCTCCCAGGGAGGCCTGACTGCGGAGCGAAGGCTGATCTCCATGACCCACCACCTCCGGGGCAGGCCTCCGCTCTGGGCACCTCCCCGAGCTTCTCCGTGGGAACCGCTGAAGACGGCCCGACGCCCGGGGCGCTGGGACCCGCGCCACCCTGCACTCCACCGGACGGCGCCACAGGGCCACACATCGGGGTGCGTCTCCCTTCGCAAAGGCGGTGAGTGTGCTCTCTAACGATGGGAAAGGTTTAGCAATGGAATGGGCTGTCGCTGAGAAGTAGGTAGTGAGCGCCCCGTCAGGGAGATGCCCACACAGATGGATGAAAGCATTAAGAGGCCATGCGTTCACCTGGACAGGCGGAGGCAGGGTGGTTAGGTATTGTTAAGTGGAGTTGGATGGAGTTTTGGGTTCAGATCCCGGCTTTACGTATCCTCATGTGACCTCGAACAAACCGCCTCCTCGCTGAGCCTCAGAGAGGCCGAGGGAGACGCAGGCTGGCTGCTCATCGAGAGCCGAGATCGTGAGATGACTTCTGAGGTCAGCGTCTGCTCCAGACGCCCTCCTTGAACCCTGACATCCTGGCCCGGCCTCCCCCGCTCTCCTCTCCGCAGGGGGAGGGGAGGGCTTTCCCTGCAGGCCAGGCCCCCCCAGGGGCTTGCCCACTTTCTTTCAGCCCAGGTCTTGTCCCCCGCCTCCCCCCCCCCCCGTCCCCTCCCCCTCCTCCCTTCATCCCAGGCACCCTTCCGATTGGCTGGCTTCCAGGAGAGCGCCACAGCCCGTGAGGAACCCAGGCCAGCATCCCCACAGATCAAAATGAAAGGCAAACACCATGCGTCTCTTGTCACCACCTTTATTCTGGCTTCCAGCTTGACAAAGTCAATGAAAACATTTATTTAATGACCTCCACTCCCCCCCACCCCCAGCCCACACATGCCACACGCAGTGTTCCAGGCTGCTCTTATATATATTATTAACTCTGATAACATAGTTTAATACTTAACTTTAAATACAAGGGAAAACAATAAATTACTCTTTGGCGGAGGCCGGCTGCAGGCCCGTGAGGTAGCGGGTGCGCACACAGTACTGGTTCCCAGGGCTCTGGCGGCTGCTTTAGTGCGGAGCCCGAGGCTGCCCGAGGCTCCAGGTTCTGGCCGCAGCGGTCTCTCCCCCCAGACAGACACTTGTTAAATAACACACAGTAATAAATAAGGCCCGGGCTCCTGCCTCAGTCGCCCTCTTGGCAAGGGTGGTGCCCACTTAATGCTAGTTCGCTCTGAGGAAGGGGGGCACCAGGGCGGCAGGCCGCGGGGCGGGGCGGGGCTGAAGGCAGGCAGCACAGGCTGAGGTCTAAGCTAAGGAAATCTCCCCCCTTCCCCCACACCCCCCCCAAGAAATCCCCCCGACAGGAACACGAATCTGCGACGTAAACGGGGGTCAGGGCCGCGGCGGCCCGCTGGTGCGTTCAGGGGAGCATCCCGTTGCGCACGGCCTTCCGCAGCTGCTGGAGCAGGTCCTTGGCGAAGCGGATCACCTCCACCTTGGTGTCCCGGACCAGCTGGCTGGACCCCTGCGGCGGGCACAGAGGCCAGGGCGTTAGTGGGCGTGCTGGGCCCTCAGAGAAGACCCACGGGGTGGGGAGGGGTGGGGGTCCTGCTGTCCTGACTCATTTACAGAGCTGGGCCCTCGTTCCCGGGCCCCAGAAACCCCGGGGGCCACCGTGGACCCGCCCCCAGCCGGGTGGGTGCTCAGTTGCTCCGCCAGGCCCCCGGGGCGGGGGAGCCCAGGGCTGCAGGAGGGGGACAGGGCGGGTGGGGCAGGGCCTCACCGCGGCTGAGGGCTTGTCGGGGCAGAATGCTCTCAGCAGCCTCTGGGTCCTCTGGATGGCGCGGCAGTCGGACACGTTCACCAGCGACTCGAGGGCGGCGCAGTACAGCGGGCGGAGGGAGGCGGCCTGGGGAGGAGGGAGGGGGCGTCAGGCCCTGCGGCGCCCCAGGGCGTGGCCAGGGCTCTGAGAGGCCTGGGGGAGGTGGGCTTGGGGGGAGGGAGGGAGAGGGCAGCCCTTTAAGCTTGCTCAGAGCCCCCCAGCCCAGGGAGCGGGGCCCTGGGGAGACAGGCGTTGGGTCCCGGTGCCCAAGGGGGCCTTACCCGGCCGGCTGTCAGGTTGACACTCCACACCATGCTGCCGTTGCAGAGCGGGGCCTGGGGGGGCAGAGGACAGTGAGCGGAGCCTGCGGGCCAGGCAGGTCTCCGTGGGGATCGGCCCCACAAGCACCTCCCCCCCCCCAGCCCCCCGGTGCTGCACTGAGGCAGGCCCGGCCCCTCAGTGCTCCCCAACCCCATCTTCTTCTCTGCACGTCAGGGAGACCCATTCTCCTGGGCCTTTGAGAGAGAGACACTGAAGGACACACCGCTGTGTGCGACACGCGCCACAGCCAGGCTGAGGGCGGAGGATGCCAGGCGGCCACCCGGGGGCCCGCAGGGAGGCGAGGCGGTGGGGTCTGCCCTGGCTTCCGAGTCAGGGAGCCGCAGCTCAGAGCAGGCCACTCTGTGCTCAGTGAGGTTTTTGTGAGCTGAGTGCTCCGAGGCCCAGTCAGTGAAACGGGGGCATGGTCCCCGCCTCCGGGGTGGCTGGCAGGCCTGGCCCGTGATTAGCACTCAGGACCTGCCCCTCCCTGCCGGCGAACCACCCGTAAGAGCAGGCTTTGTGAAGATGCTCTGAATGACAGCCCGTGCCCGCGCTCAAATCCCGTCGGCAAATGCCAAGTCGTGAGCGGGCGCTGGCCCTTCTCTGCTTTCCTCTGATCTCGAAAGGCCGAGAAGGCGCTTGCTGGGGCGGCGGGGCCAGGCCAGGGGGACAGGCGGTCCCCGGGCTCTGCCAAAGCCCTTCATGGGGCCTCCATTCTGCACCCCCAGCCTGGCCCCTCTCTCCCCCTCGTGAGCCGGCCCCTGGGGCTTCTCCCTGACCCACCGGCATCTTAGCGCCAGGCCCAGCCTTCCAGGCCCAGACCGTGACCAGTTCTGAGAGCCCAGCACCCAGCACCCAGCACCCACCTTCTGGGTGATGTTGTCCAGCTCCTCGATGAGCTCCCTGAGGACCGTTGAGGTGGGCACGGGGCCCGGGGAGGCGAGGCCGCCGAAGCAGGTGAGGACCACGACCAAGGTCAGCCAGAGGGCCATGGGGCTGGAGCAGCGGCAGGAGCGGAGCGAGCGGAGCGAGCAGAGAGACGGAGGCCGGCCGGGCTGAGTGCTTGTGGCCTCGGTCTCTGGCGGCAGCTTTTATAGGCCCCGAGGGTGACGCCTCACACCCTGGTCCCCGCTTTGTCGGCCGCTATCTCGAAACCACATCTTTATTATCTTGATTTTACTTTGTGGAAAATCCAGCGTCGCATAAAGGAAAGTGTTTGATTTCTTGTGGACTTACTAATGACAGGGGTCTGGGCAGTTTCCAAGATCTGGTGGGTGCCCTCCAGGGGCAGGTGAGAGGGCCCGGGGCGGGGGCAGCCATGCCGCTGGGCGCCAGCGGGCCTGCATGGTGGCCGCCCAGGGCCCTGCCCCGCGCCCTCCCCAGGCCCCTGGGGGCCACCGCGTGTGCTCGGGGCAGTGCTAGGACCCCAGTCCACCAGACACGGGGAATTGGGGGTTTATTTTTCCAATGAAGCGGTCTTTTGCATTACCGAGGGGATGCTTGCTACAGATACGAAGACAGACAGGACAGGCACAGAGTGAGGTCCCTGCTGTGCGGAGGGTTTTAAACGTCCAGATCCCGGGTCTCCATTGAATGATGCAGGGAGAACCCCTGGGACCTCCCTTTCCGCGTGGCTCTGATATGGCCCCGGCCACCTGGGCACGGATGGCCTGGGCCCTCAGCGTGGCCCGGCCTGTTGGCGACCTCACGCCGGTCAGTGCCAGGTCAGAGAGTGGACTGCCCGCCAGCCTCTGTGGGAACAACCCCGTGCCCTCGGGGGCCTCGTGTCCCGTCTGCACAGGGAAGCTGGCTCCTGGGTCCTGGGGCACAGCCCACCCCCTGCAGGGTCCCTGGCACGTAGCCGTTTCCTGCCCTTCCCTCATTTCTCTGGAAACCCTCCAGAAACCCCCACGGCAGACAGCAGCCTTTGCCCACTGGGTGCTGATGTCAAACCCTCTCCCTCACCCACTTCCTCCCTCCCCTAAGCCAGTGCTTCCCCTCCGGCCCCCTCTCTGCTGTCACCCCCTCCCCCAGCGGGGCCCAGTCTCCTCAGAAGGGCCCTCCACCCCCATCCGTTCACCCCCTTTCCCCCTCTGCAGCCCCCAGCCTCACTCCTTCTCCTCCCACAGGCAATGCTCTCCCACCGTCTCTTCTGTCCAAACCCTAAGCTCCCCCCGAATTGCAGGCCTGACTGCTGGGCAGCCCCTACCCCTCGCTTACCTCCCTCCCCCCCGCCCCCCCCCCAGTGCCTGGAGTGCTGGCCTCCCCCTCCCCCCGCTGTGTGCCCCTCTTGGGCCTCCGTTTCTTCATGGGCAGAATAGGGCCAGGGGCTGGGGTCCTGGGTGGGGAAGGTTTGGGGAACCACCCTGGGCTGTGCAAGCCCCAGAGCCCTGTCAGGATGAGTCAACGCCTCCCTGCTCCCCAGGACCCGGGGGGGGGGGGCTGCCGTGTGGGAGAAGATGCGCTGGCCCAGCCGGCGATGCGGGGAGATAGGCGGCCTTATGTAACGGGAGATGACTGATAGCGCTGGCTCAGCCGCCCCTCCTCCTGCCGCCACCAGGGCCGGGGCCAGCCCACAGCCAGCCAACCGTGCTGCTGTTTCCGGGTTTTCTCTGGGCTCCATCAGCACCGAGCACAGAGGGCTGCTCCCGCACGTGGGGCCCTGGGTCCGGGCCAGGCAGCCCAGCGCTCAGCCCGCCCACCCCTCCAGCCCTGGGCAAGGTTTCAGGAGATTCCCTTTCCCAATTTCCTTCAATTCTGGGTCTCCGTTGGAAAGGAAATATGCCTCGTCAGCAGGCTAGGGTTAGATGAGTTGTCTAACTTAGTAGATTTGTATTTTTATGGAAGTTATATGTGCACGCAAATTTAAAAAATAGTTCAAAAGGGCTGATGATGAATAACGGTAGTTTTGAGAATCAGTTCTCTATTGCGCTCTTGCATTTCTGCACACCTGTGAGTCAGACAGTGGCTGGCTGCCCTACCTATTTGTTTCCCGTGTGTGTGTGTGTGTGTGTGTGTGTGTGTGTGTGTGTTTCAGAGAGGAAGGGGAAGGAGAGGGGAGGGTGATGGAGGGAGGTAGGAAGAGAGAAAGAGAGAGAGAGAGAGAGAGAGAGAGAGAGAGGAAGAATCAGAGAGAATCAGAATTATCAATGGGCTGCCTTCTGCACACCCGCCATGAAGCTTGGGCTCCCTCTGACCCTTTTAAAGAAGTTCCTGTGACAAACTGCTGTGCACAATAAAGGTTCTTTGTCCCTGATCCCAGAGTTCTGTGTCTTCTGTGGCAAACTAGTTGGCATGCAAGTAGGGTGAAACCTCAGACCTGTCTGACCTTGCCTCCCCCCCCCAAAAAAAAAAACGCCATTTCACTCTTCTTGGTATTTAGCTCCTCAGGTTTCCAAATTTCTTAATTTTCAGGTGTGGTCATTATCTGTGATTTAGCTGAATATTTCTCTTTCTCTCCACCATTCTTCTCCCGCTTGTATCCTATCAATATATTAGTACATAAATCATACGCTTGGTCAGACAAAAGCCTTGCCCATCGTTTACATAATTATACTAATATATTCATAGCTAAAACATGGCTAATTAGGATTATTTTTATTTTCCCTCAAAACTCATTTCCTCTGGAATTGGAAATTGTCTTGCACCTGAAACCTGTACAATTTTTGTTAACCAGTGTCACCCCAATAGGTTCAACTAAAGAAAAAAAAAATGTATACCCTAGAGAAACTTTTTAAAAAATCTGTTTTCCCACTGGCTTACTTTTCTTTGTCCTTTAACCTTAATTCTGGGCCATCTAATGAGTCCCTTCTCCAGAGACGGGTGAGTTAGTTATTCTCACAACACCGTCTTCCTAAGAAGCCTTCCTCAGCGCCTGCCCACCTGCCAGGACAGGGACAGCTGCCCTGAATGCAGGGGTCCTACATGCCTGAATGCAGGCAGGGGTGCAGGACACAGCTCTCCATGTGCCCCCTTTGCCATTATCCTAAGTGGAAAGTTACTGTACCCCTAGGAATGCTGCCAACTGCAGATGTCTTTGCTTTAGGGTAAAACAACTGATAGGAGCCTGCTGACACAGAAGGAGCTGTAAAAGGAGTTGTAAAAGGTCAGGTGGTTGTAAAAGGTCAAGTGCTGAAGGAACTTATCTGTACAGGAACGCATCATGTTAGCAGAAACGGCCACCTGCACGATTGCCTGAAATAAATATTTCCTCCTTCAGAATTGTATTTAAAGGAAGGAAAAATAAAATTCGGGACTGCAGACTTCAGTCTCAGTCCTCCCGACCCCATCTTTTCTTGTCTTTCTTTTTTCTCATCCTCACCCCCTCAATCAGGTACTGTTCGTTGCCGGCTGGTTCCGGCATGTGACCCTCTACACCGCTATCCCCACTGCCCTGGGACTCCCTCCACCTCTGCCTTCCCTGTTCTTGAATCCCAGGACACATTCTAATAAACACAATTTCAGGCCGGAAGTAATTTTCTTTCAGCATCTTGAACACCTGTGCTATTGCCTCCTAAGTTCCAATACTGCTGTTCACAAGTGCAAAGGCTTTTTGGAATCCAAACGTGTCCTCATTCTCTCTCTCGGGACATTTTCCTGGTCCCCATGGTCCAGATTCTGCAACGACGTGCCGTGTGTGTTCTGTTTTCATCTACTACGGAAGACACGCTGGGGGCCTCTCAGATGGAAAGATGTTCAGTTCTTGGAAACGCTCCCTCTCAAAAAAAAAAAAAATTAAAATTTCTGTCATCATTTATTACATTTTGGGAAGTCATTGCTTTTTTGAAAATAGGTTTTATTTTTTTGAGCAGTTTAGATTCACAGCAAAACTGAGGAACAATTAGAGTCCCCACAGGCCCGTCCCTCCACACACCCACGGCCTCCCCCATCGGCATCCCCTCTCCGGAGCGGAACATCTGCTCCAGCTGATGGACCCGCACTGACTCCACGTCACTGCCACCCAGAGTCCGTCCGCCGTTTTCATTACGGTTCGCTCTTGTTCGTTCTGTGCCCTGGGACAAACGGATGACGTGCATCCACAGAGTATTTTCACCGCCCCGAATCCCCCGTGCTCCACCTGTTCATCCCTTCCTCCCTCCGAACCACAAACCACCTATCTTTTTACTCTCCCTATATGCTGCCTTTTCCAGACCATCACATAGTTGGAATCTTAGCCTTTTCAGATTGGCTTCTTTCGCTTAGAAATATGCGTTTACGTTTTTTCCACGTCTTTTCATGGCTTAATCGCTCATTTAGTTTTCAGTATTGAATAATATTACATTGTCTAGGTTTACTCACTCACCTAATCAGGGACTGGTTGTTCCTAACTATTGACAGTTATGAACAAAGCTGTGCAGTCTTCATGTGGACATAAGCTTTCAGCTCATTTAGAGACATCAAGGAGTATGATTGCTGGGTCATATGGTAAGAGTATGTTTAGTTTTGTTAAAAAGAAAAAAAAAAAAAAGCTGTGCCATTCTGCTTCCCACCAACAATGAATGAGAGTTCCCGTGGCTCCACAGACCTGCCAGCATTTAGTGTTGTCAGTGCTTTGGATTTTGGCCGTTCTGATAGGTATTTCACCATTTCTCTGAAGAAATATGATGTGGCTGAGACCGGTTTGGCTCAATGGATAGAGCGTCAACTTGGTGACTGAAGGGTCCCAGGTTCGATTCCAGTCAGGGGCATGTACCTTGGTTGCGGGCATATCCCCAGTGGGGGGTGTGCAAGAGGCAGCTGATTGATGACTCTCTCTCATCGATGTTTCTAACTCTCTACCTCTTTCCCCTCCTCTCTGTACAAAATCAATAAAATATATTTTAAAAAAGAAAGAAAGAAATATGATGTGGAGCATCTCTTTATGTGCTTAGTTGCCTTCTGTGTGTGTGTGTGTATATATATATATATATATTTTTTTTTTTTTTTTAATGATATTTCTGTTACAGTCTTTGGCCGTTTTAAAAGTTGGGTTGTTATATATTGGGTTGTGCAT